CATCATGGTTTTATTATCATGACATTTTGCCATCAGCTATCACCACACATATGTCACGCCACTGTCATGATTTTATTACTTTCATGTTTTAACCCGCGTTAGAGCGAGGAATTTTAAGGCCCCTTTACAGCCACGCACCATATCATTGTTCATATCTGTAGTTAATTGAAATGGCGCTCTTTGGCCATCAATTGGCCCTTGCGCCACTAAAAACTACTCATCATCATCATCATAACTTCCCCTGTACATTCCTTGGCATTACTGTCTGTTATACCTCATATATATATATATATATATATATGTATATATATATATATATATATATATATATATATATATATATATATATATATATATATATATATATATATATATATATACACGGAAGCGAAACATTTGCGGCGAGGCATTGCTCTGCAAGCGGGTGAAAGACGTCGACGTCTCGGTGTGTTGTTCGCAACGTCGCGTGCGAGGTTCCCGTGCCTCAGATCGCTTAGTCCTCGGCCACTAGACGTGTCCAACGTATCCTGCCTTTCCGCCGATGGTCTTCTTCCTGAATACGGCTAGCTCCTTGCCACGCACGCGACCTGCGTGCCCGAGCCGAACGTGTTTTTAAAACCGCCTTGCGCACGCACGCTCCATTCTGCGAGAGCGCGCCTCGTGTTTGGCGGGCGAAGTGGACGATGGTTGTGTCGGCGAGCTGCGTCAATCCTTCACGGCCAATGCATCTTTTTGCGTGGCTACCGACAATCTCTGTAAAACGCTTTCGTACTTGCAGGGGCAACACTTGTGAAGCGCGGCCACAAAACTGCGTAATATAGCGCGCTTCGCAGCCGATGACTGAATGTTCAGTGCCGAGAAGTAGGTGCCTAACCGCGGGAAGCACAGTAACCGTTATAGAGCGTTCGACACAAGTGCCTGCTAAGCGAAGTAGCTTTTACCATGCAACATATGCTTCAGTGAAATCGGTGCACCGTTATCAGTCGGCTGTTGTGCATGAATATCATTGTATTACAGAGGAAGAAGCCCTACTTTTTCAGTGACCACTCTACAAAACAGACAATGAATTAAGCCTGAGAAATCACAGCTAACATTAACGTATTGCTTTGGTACGCTGAGTCCACCATTCCCCCCTCAAAAGTAAGAGTTGTCACAGCTTGCAACAAGTCGCGCATGGCTGGGTCACAGAAGGGCTGGTGGTTACTCTGCTGATCAGGCAGGCTTGGTAAGGCTTTTACCTTTTCGCTTCCATCTTTTTCACCCCTTACCGCGAACTGTGCTATTCAATGCAATGCCTGCTCTCTTGATTCTTTTTTTGTTTCTGTTAATTCATATTTTTTTCCATCTCTCTGTTTTGTTCTTTCTTTCCTTCCTCTCCTTCTCTATTTTTGGCTTCCTCTTTCTATCGCCTTTTATCTCTGTTTCGTCGATTCTCTCGTTATATGCTACGCTTTACTCTCTCCCCTCCTCCTTTCCATCATATCTACCCTCCCACCTCTCAATTGTCTTTCGCGCCCCATGGCTAAATATCATTTAAATTTGCAGCAAAAAAAAAACAACAAAAAACGAGGAGACAATAAGTATAACGCTACACACAGACGATAGTTATAGCGCGAGAAGAAAACGACGACACAGAAACAAGAAGGACACGAAGGACACTTCTTCTTGTTTCTGTGTCATCGTTTTGTTCTCGTGCTATAACTATCGTCATACCATACCAACTAGCCCACGCTGCCACACTTCTAAGCTACACACAGTTCTCGTTTTACGCACTGCCCATTTCAATCACGCATAACCACTTCAATCTTGTCCGAATGTCGATTCTTTCTCTTGAAATACTACACTATAAGAAACTGTGCTATGCTCTGCTAGCGTCTGCACTCGGTGGAACAGTGGCGGCAGTGCGCGGCTGCTGATCCGAAGATCACAGCTTCCATCCCGGCCGTGGCGTTCGAATTTCAATGGAGGTGAAATGGTAGAGTACCGAGTACTGTGTGATGTCAACGCACGTTGAAGAACCTCAAGTGGTGAACATTTCTAGAGCCCTCCACTACGGCGTCTCTCATAATCATGCTGCGGTTTAGGGACCTAAAACACGAGGTATTGTTATTATGCTATGCTAATGTGCCAGCATAGACGAGTGCCTACGGTGCTCGTCTTCGGATCGTGGGTACGTAGGTTCGAATCATGCTTCTCCAAGAAGTTTCTTCCGTCAAGAATGTTTGTTTCACTGTCATTTTCTCTCATTACTCAATCTGTGACACATCGGAGTTTTTGCGATTTGAGTTAGGCCGCACAACACGGCACACGTGTTTGGGGGGCGAAGCAGAAGAGAAAGAAGAGGACAAAAAGAACGTGCACTGTTTTGTTATGACAATAATTTTTTATCTGTGAAAGACAACAACCTCGATCATGACTATTCTGCTGTAAAAAGTGGTCACAAATGACGTACGCATGTGTGGCGAGCCGGCTATTTCCAAAAACAACAGAAGCACGGAGAGAAACGTTGATGGAGAAAGACAGCTATACACCGGTGCATCCAAGCCAATCCAAGCTCAATCGCAGAACTCGCGTATGAACCCCGGTGCCTTGTACAAGAGCTAACATGACGGCCTTGTGCACATTACGTATGTACATTCGGTGGGGACGTAACATGAAAAAATGTCTGTTAGAAAAATTACCACAAAACTGAAGCTTGCTAATTGGGCCTGCATGACAGTGTTTCTCGGGAAACTATAAAACTTTTTTTCATTTCCCATTTTGTAAACTTAATTGTCCAACGTACTGTAAAGGGAAGCTTGTGTGTAGGTTTCTCATTTGAGAAAAGTTCTTCGCTATGCCCCACTATCTTTCTCTTGTCCCTTTCGAATAGATGAAGAATAAAAATACAGCTACTTTGGCCGCCATTTGCAATCAATTGTGCAGCGAAACGAATAGTTACAAAAAAAGTAATTATTTCTTCGCTTTCAATTTTCGCTACTTCGCCGTCCATTGGTTCCCTACAGATGGGAGTATAGCGAGGCGAGGCGGGCGCAAATGCACAACGAATGCCTACATGCGCACAGCGTATATACCAGCCGCTTCGTCATGGCCGCCTGATCGGTGCCGCAGTTAGCAGTGGGCTGCGTGTATAAACCGATAATTGCTCGTTGGGCCTAACTGGCTCTGACGGATATGATGGCTCGCAAAGTGGGAAGTGGTCAGATGCGAATGCCTGACTACCTATGCGAGGAGTGTGAGTGCCGCACTACCGCTATTGCAGCCGCAATTACATTGAATAGACAATAAACTTCCGCCTCTGGTTGTGTGTTGCTAAGAAGGACTTTGGCGTGTGAAGCATAATGTTATTTTCAATCAGAACTATAGTCGCTTTACTTGCACGTAAACTACATCGTAGGTCCCGCTGCATTTTATTTATTTCCTTGTATACCGTGCAACCATCTCTCAATTGGGAAAACGTGATTGCGGTTTTATCGAGGAACATTATAACCGCGTGTGAATGAACGAAGGAAGTCTTGTTCCTTCACGCTTGATTGCCTGTGGTCGCCTCACCTTCGTCGTACCTGTCAGAACTTTAGCCAAAAGCGTTCTTTCTATGGGGGGGGGGGGGTAAGTTGGGGGGTGAGATTTAATTGTATTTTACATGGCTTGTGCGTGCGCTTGTATGCGTTCATGCGTACACATTGAAAAATGAAAACATTCAAATAGATGGACAGACGGACGGATGGATGGATGGATGGATGGATGGATGGATGGATGGATGGATGGATGGATGGATTGATGGATGGATGGATGGATGGATCCGGCTTTGCGCTTTAGATAGGACGGCTGCTCACGCTACCTAGCCGTAAAGTTAAGTACTATTACTGTGTGTTTAAGGATTGAATTTCACTTGCGCCTTGATTGTAGCCACCAATTGGTTATCCTACTCCTGGTTATTTTTACCCGTTTAAAGTCTATGTCCCCCTCTCCGCCGCCACCTGGCTGTATACGCCAATGTGTATCTGGGTGACCGCTTCGCCAAGAATACGATGCTTTGTATATCGGAACAGCTGCTTGCTGAAGAGTCGAGTATTCGCTGTATTCCTGATAGAACAAATTTGCCGTCTTCCTGCAGGCACTGGTCTTGCGGGAATAGCGACTAGCTCGAGCCTCACAAGGTCTGTGTGGTGGAGTAATGACGAGAAAAAGATTAGCTGTAATGCCGATGTCGGCAGCGTACATTTAAGTTTTATGCAATGCTTTACGCCCATTGGGAGATTGTGCAACTCAACTGGTTTAAAACGAAGAAGTTAGGCTGATATGTTTGGTGTTCGGCGAGCTTTTGAAGTATCGTGTCCACTGTGGTGATTATTCAAGGCAGAATAAATAAAAACCCATATTTATTATAACTGTCGGAGATTTTGAACGCCACCACACATGATAGTTTGTGTTTTAAGAAATGTTTTTATCATCCTTTGCCGCAAGCTCTGTTTTCGTATATTATAAGGGTGTTCGAGAAACACATCGAATAACTTTTTAGACTTACTGACAGAGGAAAAAAAAACCATATCTCGGCAGTACCAATTTATTTATTTATCTATTTACATGACCGACGGAACGCGGTAGTCGAACCATGCATGTGCTCGTGGTTGATAGCGAAGCACTATAGAGGTGGCCCACCCCGCGGAGAAAACGCTCAGAAGCATTTGCGAAACCTAGCGGGAGCGGGCTTCACAGTCAAATGAAGTCGTAGCGACACGCCTTTACAAACATAGTTATATTTTCGACCTCGGAAGTGCGTGACTTGTTCGTGGGCCTCCACGGACACGCAGAACCGCACTTTTCTTCGTCCGCCATGCTTTGCTGATGTTGGCGTTGTGCTGCTATCATCCTTCAATTTGCGAATCAGTCCGGAACGACACCTATACTACGACACTGAATGTGTGGCTTATCCTGGCGATTACGTCGATGGTTATTTCGACTTCCCCCTGTCTGGTACAGTGCGCTCTTCGCGGACGTGCCAGCGCCATGGTCAACGAGAGCAACGCAAGCCGTGGACTTAAGCAACCCTCGGGACACCTTCGCCTTCAGTGAGCACGAAAGCAGCGCACACAGCGGAATGGCTCTTTATCTAGTCTTCAGCCTACAGGTTTGTGGTCATTGTCCGCTGTATGCCAAAAAAGAGCAGTAATCGATGTTTTCTCCTGTTTTAGAGCTCGCAAACGTTTTGTGCAATTATGCACGAATGTGCTGAAACGCTTCTGCTGCTTCTATCGGGCGATGTTGAATGTATCCCAGATCCCGAGAACATTTGTTGAAACGCTGAGAACGAGACAGACCTGTTAACCACTATTACTGAGATGCTCGGAAAAATTAGCACTCAGACATCTGACCTTGCTCAAGAGCAGGTTGAATTAAAGGTTAATGTTAAGGATATCAAGGCTTGTCAACAGAGTATTGAGGTAAAGCTCGATCGGTAATACTTACAAACGTCTTGAGGGCCTGGAAGCGAACATGCTATCATTAATAACCTTGAAGAAGGGCTTGCGGCTGTTGAGAGCACCGTTGACCAATTAGCGAATCATCTAGACAGTACCCAGTCTCGTCTTGACGACTTGGAAGACAGAGCCCGGCGAAATAATTTAGTTATCAGGGTATTACCTGTGAAAACGAATCATGGCTGGACACAGAGGGAAAAAAACACTGTGCTCTCTTCAGCCCTTGGCCGCGAAATTACACCTGACCTTGATGAGCGTGTCCATCGCATAGGTAGATTTTCACCGCCCAAGTGCCGTCCTGTGATTTCGAAATTCTGTTCCTTTAAGGCTAAGAACTCTGTCTGGTTGTCGCGTGGTGACCTAAAGTCGAAAGCCATTTAAATTTCCGTGATCGAAGATTTTTCCCCGGCAACACGACAGGTTAGAAATAAACTTGTTGGTTTCGCCAAATCTTTGCCGCAATCACCTGCTTATCAACTCAGGTACAAGAAGCTGCTTGTTGATAAAGAATGCTACATATACGACTATAAAAAGGGTAGCGTAAAGAAAGGCCCCCTTAAAGCCTTAAAGCACTCGTGAAAGCCCACCTTAAATGACCTTAAGTGACGTGTCAATCGTTGGCGCGCACGCTGGGACGCGCGCAGACAAACAGGCACAGCGCATTGTATGCAGTATACGGCGCGGGAGTGAGACATGTAAGACACCGTTGCCACGAGAAATGGCCGCAAACAAAAACATGCAGAATGTTCGAACAAGCTCCCACGTCAATCAGAGCGGCTGCGATGGACTGCTGTTTATGGCACACGTCGAAGTGGGGTGATGCCTTCCGCTAAACGTGGAGGAGGAGGAAAGAGGAAGCAACAAAAGGGAGAAGGCAAGGAGGTTAACCAGAAAGACATCCGGTTGGTTACCCTACACGGGGGATTAGGTAGGGGGACAAGAAAGACGAGAAATAGGGAAGAGAGGGAAAAGAAAAAAAAAGGTGGTGGAGAGACAGTAATTTCACTGCAGCGTGTAGAACTCTACCGCATGTCAGAGGCGTTCACACAAGCCTGTCTTTCTCAGGAAACACAGCAGGGCTTTCACTGCCTTGTGAACTGTCGAGGCATGTGGACGTTGCTGTAATAGCACCTGCACAGAAAGAGCCCGATCATTCACTCGCCGCATTGCGTTGGCAAGTACTTGTCTATCTCAGGCAAATCGAGGACAATGGCACAGCAGGTGTTCGATATTTTCGTTGGTGCCGCAAACATCGCACGCCGCACTGTCAGTAATTCCGATTAACGTGGCGTCACAATATAGTCTACATGCTTCCTTCATTATCGAGGCCTCTTCCAAACGAACAGAGAAGTTTTTACAAAGTTGATCAAACTCGTTTTCTTCATCGATATATTCTGGTGTTCCTACATTCAGGCTACTTAAGTTAGGGAAAGAGATCACACAAGAATAAAAACACGCATGCTGTTGTCCTAAAAAAGAAATCTCGAATGGCTTCTGTTGGAGAAGGTATACGGTTTCGAGATGCGTGTTCGTGCTCCCGATCAGAAAGCTGACAAGAAGTTATTCCAAAGCAGGAAAGAGTGACATTGCCGCATCCTCGTGCACAAGACTTAGTGTATGTATATCGAGTGCGTCACAACTTTGACTCTATCCCACACGTTACACTTCGAATCATTGTTGCGATTCGCATTACATCCCCACTCTAACCGCACGTACTTTGATTTCCTTCGCATGTTGGCAGGCGTGTTTGAGTGAAATTAATTCTCCTCAAAGAGATGTAATGCGGGGCCTCTTTAACAGATGATGCACACGTAAACCTCACGTGCGGTATGCGTATAGCAATGGTGCGCATAATACGAGAGTAGACGTCGTTTATTCCTGCGTTGTCACCTTAATTTTAGCTGTATACTATAAGTGATAAGACTGGCTGTTTTTTTTTCTTTCCCACAGCGAAACTTAGATGGTGTCATTGCGGCCACCACAGAAAACCAGTTTGCACCCTTACAGGTGTTTTCTGCCTTTATAATTAACACCATACGGTATATAACACCCTACAATTATCACGAGGGTGTTTTGGTTTGAGAAACCAAAACACGCTTGTCGTACGTTGTTAGTTATAGATACGGCTGTATTACTGTGCACCGAATGCATTGCAGCAATAACAGCGACAATAGCGCCCGACATTAGTGGCAAAAAATATACTGCATGTGAAAGCGTTCCCTCCAAGTCACTCATTGAGGCAGTGTTACAAAGTGTATACTGAATGAAAGCTTTTGCGCACCACCTTTTGGAATCTCTGCGCGCAGAAAAAAAAAAGCCTTGGGTGCACGTGGAAAATGCCGAGGATTAATGCGAATGTATATATATACGCGCGGGTCACAAAAAGCGCTGTTTGCGTTTGGTGACTGCGGCTACGTTTATATTGCTAGAAATCCATTTTCGGGCTTTTGTATAGCGTCCGAGCGGTGCGCGCATTTCGCTTCCATATAAATATTTGATCCTGTCGTTCTGTACTTCTCAGTGCCGGCGAAGAGGATAGCCCTCATAATCTTCAAGCAGAAAAACAATTGTAGCGTGCTTCTTTATGTAGTTTCTTAAATGATTCAACATTCTCATAAGTTTCGAAGTTCGGTGTGTCTCATTTTGTGCTGTTTGCAAAAACATTTTTCATGTGCATGCACTTAAGTTTATTTGATACATTGGGCCGCATCATCTGTCACGTGCACACAAAGAGGCACCGCCCGAATTGACGAAAGTCTGCAAAAAACGTAATATACCCCCTCCCCCATATATACTTATACTTGTATACTGTAGAACAGGGTCAAGAAATAAAAACACCAGGCCTACGCGGAAGGCGCAGCACAGTCACAACGAAAGCTAGAAGAGCGGCCTTTCAAAGCTTTTTCTAAACACTCATTTGGTAACTACTGCAAGCACATTTGCTTGATACGCCCTAGGTCATTATTATTAAATTTATTTGGGTAGTAGACTGGCGTTTGCTATGCTATTTTTCATGATTCTTCTGAGAAGCGTGGTATCTGCTGAACACTAGCAAGGAATTTCGTGCCAAGTATTCATGCAGTGGCTGATGATGATAAGGAATTATTGCTGAAGTGGGTCTGCGCCACAGTTATTAGGGGAACAAGAACAATCTTTTGTGATGGATTGGAGCATTGGATGGCCCACTCCTTACGCTAATCGCATTGTGTGACGACTGGTTATTCTTTCGCTGTTTTAAAATGCTTCGTAAGTCGTATTAACGCGATTGCTTTCCCGACATCAAGCCTGCCTAAGGTAAGTTGGAAAACAAGTTACAAGCACCGGCATTAATCAGTGGTAGAATACTGGGCTGGCACCTAGTGGACCCGGGTTCGAGCCCCAGTGTGTCATTGGGGCTAGCTTTTTTTTTCTAATTTCGCACGATGATGTTACGGACACCGGCGGCGGCGGCGGACAACTGCGCGTCACCCCAGTGATCTCATAACAGATTTCGCTGTAAAACCACATCTAAATGAGGTTCAAAGCAGAAATACCTCAGTGCAGAGATGTCTATTAATAATAGTTCTCTGTTTAAAATTTTATAAGTTTGTAGTTTCCTAAATTTCATTTACATTTCAATATTTTATTTTATTTTAGGTTGCATACTTCACTGTTACTTCATAATTTTTACATTTTGTAGTTTCTATTTACACTTTTGACTTACAAAAACATAGCACTTTCAGATAAGCTTGGGCCAAGAATGGCTTTGCGACTCAGGGTCCTATTACAAATTTCGGCTTCCTTAAGGAGATGGTGGTACATCCTGTCAAGTAGAACGTTGATTTTTGTTTTTGCAAGGGATGCAGGCTGGAGAGACAGCCAGCGCAGTCACGTTCCCATGCTATATACACCTCAAGGAATCAGGAAGGCTCCGCAATATGACATATCATGCATGCGTATAGAGTCGTATTGCGCACTGTATACCTGACCTACCTGTTTTATTTATTTCTTTATTTATTTTTGTCCATTACCGCGCACCTTCAGATGTCAAGGGTATCCATCTTCGCACTGAACTAGTTTAGGGTACACAAATAGGTACAGCGATACATAACCTCCTTTTTCTGTGTGTACAGCGGCATTTTAACCTTGGCTGCGACCATACGACACGTGCCATTTGGGAGATTAGCTGACTTGGCGCGCATGTTGGGACATAGCCACGCTCAGGCTGCTTAATTCGCTTGCGCGCTTGTGTACGTAGTGTCTGCGTGCACGGCCAACACGCCGGTGATGCAAGCGGCGTGAACAGGGAGGAGTGATTAATGATACCGCGCTTATCGCTTAACGCAGTGTAGGTGCATTAGTTAATAGTGCGTGCCTGCAGACTAATTACTGCGGATCCCCCTAATTGCCCAAAAGCACTCGTGTCCTTCTGCAGGTGAACGGCTGATCTTGCGACACCTGTGTATGATATTTGCAACCTACGCTTCGATATTCATACGAGGCGCTTCATCGCGGCTCCAGTCGGTTAAGGGCTGTTAAGTACTTACTTTTACCTCTCGCCAAAGATATTCAGATAGCGAACTTGTGGCTGAAGTCCAGAGGATGCGTTATAAAAATACCGCGCTTGCGTCATCGACACAACAGGATAAAACCATCAGATGCTCGTCGAGGT